AAAGAGAGAGATAGGAAATTTGCATCATTAAATATTCTTGCCGCTCCTCTTGGAATTGTTTTTACATAATTAATTAATTAGTTAATGAATTAATGTGTTATTTCTTTTCTCCTCTTATTTGTATAATGTCAAAATAATCCAAGTGGTCAAAACAATAATGTCAATATGTGAAATTTTTTGTAGAACTTTTAGTATCATATGAATAAAATTCTTCTTACCAAATACGACGATGGCCGTCTAAACCCTGCAACAGAGTTGTGAGTTGTAAAACCACGTGTTCATATGATTAAGTTTGTTCTTATTGCACCTCCCTTGCTTTTTTCTTTCTTCTACTTCTTTCAAATGTCTTTTAACACGATGGGACAGTGACGACAACTTTTCTAACATGCATTTTCTTTCTATAAGATGCATACACTAATGAGATAAATTAAAAATATTGGTCAAGGCATTCTTTCAACTTTTGAAAAGTAACAGGTTTTGAAACAAATGAGCCCATACCGTTTGCGAAACCTTGTCTGCACTCTCTACCAATGTGTTTGTTGTCATCTGCAATTACCCCACCAATACTCATCAATGGATATACATACAAATACAAGGATATTCGTTATGAAGAAAAGTTAACAATTTTTGAACTGCTATTATTACTTGCAAATGTCAGATATGCATATATCTTGTCTTCCAAAATGACAATTCATTGGGCTTGCTCAAATTTAACCATCCTTTTCTTTTTTTTTCTTTTGTTTGTAATGACTTCCCAACATTTACTCTAAGTGAATGTAAACACATTAAATGCTGTATTGAGCAAGATTCTCATGAAGAATACTGGCTACACATGGAAAACAAGGATTCAAGTGCTTACAACAATGATGGGCATCCTGTTTTTAGATGAGTTAAATTTTTGATCATTTGGAGGCACAAATTGCTTAATTCCTGCTTTCATTGCAACATCCCAATTACCAGTTTCCTCAAAAGAACAAATTTATCTTGTGGCTTGAAGGCCATCCATCACTAGCATGCATACATCCTACACATGGTTACAGCTTCAATGTATTAGGATAAGACTACAAATCTATGTGACAATGTTCAGAAACATTATAATGAGTTGCAAGGTTTGTTTATACAACTAATCCAAGACAAACTCCTCCAAAAAGTTTTGTGAACATGTAAGTATATTAAGGAAGTTGTGGATGGACATCTACATTGAACTATTGGCTTTGATGGGCAAAAAACTACTAAAATTTTAGAGATGTACAAAGGGATAAAAAGTAAAGGAGAAAACAACTATAGGCTTTGATAATGAAGAAGAGGAGAAATAAGGCAATCAAAATGATGGCACAACCAGTGGCAAACCATTTCACCTAGCAATGTAACAACCATTGGGATAAGCTCAAACACTAACCTCATCTTAAATTGAAGTCTGAAAAGAAAAGGATATGCCTAACAAGTGATTAAAATGGTAACTAAAATAATAACCATAATAGAAAACATTTTTTAATTCTAGGAAAATTACCATCAGAACGAGATCTAAGTACAGGACTGAAATGCACGTACAGCTTCAACTCAATTATTCACAACATCTATGGTATGGCCCCACTGCTTTGTCATTGACCGTGTCACCATCACATTAATCTTGTTATCTTCCACAAGAAGGATCTTAGGTTTCAACATCGATTTGGGAATTTTCTGGACTGTTGCTAGAACTGCACTAGGTGCTTCTATTAGTTCTCTCCCACATCTCACTTGCTTCTTATAGTGATCCCGGGTTTACCCTTGTTGTACGGTGATCCGGACATGTGTCCGTGGATGTTGGTAGTTGAACATTATCTTGTTTACATCCTTTCTTACTTTGTATTTGAGTTATAGGATGTGTTGGGAGGTTTTGTTACAGGTTGGTTGAGTTTAGAAACCAAAACTAGTTGCCCAGATTTTGGCCTGTCCGCTCGAGCGGGGGTTTTGGCGCTCGAGCGGGGAATACACCCATCCAGTATTTCCTGTGCAGTGTCGGATGCTCGAGCGGGGGATTGGTCGCTCGAGCGGGAGGTTGTGACTGACGCTCGAGCGGGGCTTCGAGCGCTCGAGCGGGGCTTCGAGCGCTCGAGCGAGGACCTGTTGTGTCGAGATGCTGGGAGAGTGCATCCGGCGCTCGAGCTGGAGTTTGGTCGCTCGAGCGGGAGTCTGTGAGTGACGCTCGAGCGGGGAGTTTGACGCTCGAGCGAGGCGACTGGGTTTAAGTTCCGAGTTTTGACTTTTCAAATCACTTTTTCACTTTCTCTTTTCTTCTCCTACTTTTCCAAAAACTCCATTGTTGAGCTCTCACATCTAGAACTCTACCTTCTCTCTAGGTTTTGATCTAGTAGGAGTGATTTGCTCATCTTTGGCCTTTACAAAAAGGTTGTTGATCGTCGAGGGCTTTATTTTAATCTGAAAATTTCGGATTTTGGAACACGTTGGGTTTTATCATCTTCTCCTTTGGGGCTCCGGATTTGAGGTAGGGATATCCTACTCCTCTCTATGGATTTTGTCTTTAAATTTTAGTATTTTGAGATGATGGGTTGATTTGGTAATTTTGTGAAAGTTTGGGCTTTTGTGTAATTTTACAAAAGTTGGGGTTTTATTTATAATAAACCTAGATGCATGTTTGGCATAGAGTAATGGAATAAATGTTGAATCATGGATGAAAATGGGACCCTAAGGGTTGTAATGTAAATTATGGAAAATGACCTAATTACATTGTTTGATTACTAGGAATGAGGAAATGAAATGGAATTGTTGAGATTGGGAATGCATGGGGTTAAAGGGTGTAGTTGAATTATTTATCACTCACCGAATTGAAATGTTGATTGAATATCCATTTGTGCATTTATTTTCTGTTTAGAAATAACTGCTTTGGGCTATCGGTAGAGGATAGTCGTGATTGTTGTAGACAATGCATGATGATTAGGCAAACGAAAACTAATCAATGGAATGTGTCATGGAATTTGACGGTTGAATAGAATACATTAACTGTATGTATTGAATGATTGTATATAGAACCAATGTTTTTGTATACGTTATGTGTAGAGGAGGAGATGGGGGATGTACTCCGCGGTTTAGGGGAAGATGGGGATGTACCTCTAAACCGGATAGACTTGGAGGAGAAGGGGATGAACTCCGTAGACACAGCTCATATGCTTGTCTAGAGAAGTGAAGATAGAGCTCATATGCTTATCTTTGAGAAGTGTAGATACAGCTCTTATGCTTGTCTAGAGAAGTGAAGATAGGGCTAATATGCTTATCTTTGTGAAATGTGGATGTAGCTTATATGCTTATCTGTGAATGTGGGATATAGTTTTATACATATATGTTGAGACGATGATAGAGCTAATATGCTTATCTGTTTGAAAAAGGGAAAATGAAAAGTAACTTGGACTCATAAGCGTATGACATAAAATCATATGTGATTTATGTGGATGTATCAGTGTTGGCCATCTATCAATTGCTAATCTTTTAGTCATTGTTCATGGTTGGTTTAGTATATTTCTACTGGGCTGTGGTTCACCCTATATGGGAATATCATTTTCAGGTGTAGGTAGCATGCCACCTCCAAGGACATAGCTTGGGAGGCTAGAGGCGGACACTCTTTTGTTGTTTTATTTTTGATGTATTACATGTAATCTCAAGCCAAGGGCTTCAACTGTAAATGAGTTAGTGCTCTTTTGTTGTAACCAAGTGTTAACTTGGAAAGCTGTAAGCCTGTAGGGCATTTGCTTTTGTTGTTAACATGTAATACTTTTGTAAGGAACAACTCTGATTATGAGAAGAATGTGGATATCTTGTATGTCAATGAATGTCTCAATTGATGGTTTAATGTTTTTATTTTGAGGGCGTTACACTTCTTGGGAGTCTATTGGCTTTATCGTTTCCCGATGTTGCTTTCCTTTGAAGGGTGGGTGGAATTCATATCAGGATACTAGAATTTACCATCTTCTTTATTGTGACACTGTATCTCACTATCACTACCAACAACAATTTTCTTAGCAGAGTCTGGGCAGTCCCTCATTGAATATTCATGTTCCAATGATGTATTAGCACCATCAACCGAACAGGCATCCTCGAATGAAGTTACCTCTTTTGTTGCAATGTTGCTAGAGGGAAATGAGTAGGAATCTTCTAACAAACCATTAGGTTTGTATGACGCATTAAAAGCAATATTGTTTAGCAATTTTTTAACCCTGCTAGGACCACTAGGAGCGAAATGAGAACCCAAAGTGAGTGGTTGAAATTGAAAAAATCCGAAACTTGTATCCTCATCGTTGGCATCATTCGGAGTATCATGATCAGCCATATCAGAGGGTTCATCAGGATCATCTGAATTATCAGCTGCAGGTGAAAACCTTGTATGGTAGTATAAATGCAAATGTAGATCCATGGTGCTCTCGGCTACAAACACTAAGATGACCTCCCATGAGCTCAACCTATTTCATACACATATGAATGTGAAGAGTAGTACATCAGCTAAGATAGTTTATATCAAAGCGACAAAATGAAAATTCATGTCTCCATATGAAATGAAAGACAACTTCAAGTTGCAGATAGACTGGAAATTCACATAGAAAATTTATATCAAATGAAGTGGTATGGATGGGTAATAGGCTTGGAACAGGTCCGAGGGGAGAAGAATAATTTAGAATGAGATGCTCAATTTCAATAATTTTAAATTTCTACTGGATTTCTTGCATGTAAACTACCTACTCTTGTATAAAAAGTGATATAAATTGCAGTTTCTCACCAAAGGAATAGATATTTCAGGAAGAAGATTAATGTGATTTAGTGGAAATGTCTGCCTATGGATATAATGCTTGTGGTTAATATAATTGAAACAGATATGCCTTCTAATACCCATTTCATAGTACAGCATGAACCCTGGTCTAGAAAAGTAAAAAAAAAAAAATGAAAAAAAAAAATTTGTTTAAAACAATCAACAGTTGTTTGCAGGTTGCTACGCCTAGCCCAGTCCCACCATACTTCTGTGCTGTGTCTGCACCTACTTGCATGTATTTCTTAAATAGAGTAGGCAAAGCATTCTCTGTTCCATTGAAATGAAAAGTGGGATTCTAAGAAATAGCAGAAAATAATTAATAATAGTCCGTACTCAATGTTTCAAAGCATATTTCAAGATGTGAAATTACCCGGTATTCCAATTCCCGTATCATAAACATCGCAATATATCCATACTATTGTTTCATCTGGCTGAAGGTGGTTCTCTTCACCTCCATCTATCGAGGCCCCATTTCTAACTGGGCTTGTGGGTTCGTCACGAAGTTTGTTGTTTTTGTAAGGACCTTCCACGTGTTTCTCTTCGTGAAAACCTTTTTGATCGCAACAACTTTGATACAATGATACACACTTATCTAGTTCGTGTACATTTACTGAAACTATTGACTTGTCTGCAGTGATCTTCTGATTGGATCCATCTTCCATAACCGAAGATGGGGCTGGTACCACATAAAGATTTATTCCAACCTTCCCTTCATGGGTAAACTTGATTGCATTGCTGGAAAAATAAAAACTTAAAAATTTGAAGCAGAACTAAATAATGCACGAAAGGTGCAACAAAACCAGAAAGCATGTTGCATATTCATTTTAGTTGTGACAAATGCTCATATTCTGTGTTGTAAGGAGACACACTACTCATTGCTGATCATCCTAATCTAAAGTACTAGGAGAAGTAGATTGGTGTTACATTGTCATTGCATTTAAGAAAGCAACTTTTGTTAAATATCATAGATAAAGTAAAACATTCTCACCTCAAGAAAGGAATTATAATTTTCTTTTTAACTAAGGAAAAAATAATATACACCTTAAGTTTACAAATCTTTCTATAACATCTGTCACATAATTGTTCAAAGGAACAATTCCTTGGTCCTCTTGACAAATATTTCACAAATCCGGGGAAAACAAACGTCATGATCTCTGTTGTCTTTTACTGTGATACAATCACTTTCTAATCATATCAAATAGGAATTTCTAGAGGAACAACTATGGGAGCAAAATGTTACATATGGAGCATAATGTTGGACAACCAAGTAGCAGAAAGTGCACAAGGCTCTAAACATAGCTAAAACCATCCATATAATCTACAAAGGAGAATTTGAAACAAGACATTGGACATCACTTCTCTCTCCTTCCATTACTTGCTTCAAACAAGACATGAGCTCTTCTCTCCTCACAACCCCTTTCCCATCCTCCTTAGCTCACACCAACCTCCCATATCTCGTCTATAAACTTAGCATCGGTCAACAACTGGTCCAACCATTTGGGTACCCCAACCATTGGACATCAAATTTTCTTTGTCCGTCAAACCCATAAAACTAAAATCAAACCAATTTTGGACATGAAGAATAACATAATTTCATAGAAATCAAACAATTCAACCAAACCCATTTACAAAATCAACACAAAATTAAACTAAAAAAATCATATATACCCTAGATGAAGTGTGAGAGATGGGGAAATACAGGAAGGGAGAGATAGAGAGAGAGAAACAGAGAGATGGCTCGAGAGAGTGAGAGAGACACGGAGTTTCTTTGTCAAACCCATAAAACTAATATCAAACCAATTTTGGACATGAAGAATAACATAATTTCATAGACATCAAACAATTCAACCTAACCCATTTACGAAATCAACACAAAATTAAACTAAAAAAATCATATAAACCCTAGATGAAGTGTGAGAGATAGGGAAATAAGGGAAGGGAGAGAGAGAGAGAGAGAGAGAGAGAGAGAGAGACCCAGATCGACAGAGAGGGAGAGGACCGAGAGCGACAGAGAGAGAGGGACAAGAACCTGTGATTTGCAGTAGTGGAGGTGGTGATTTGCGGCGGTGGCGATGTGCGATGATGAGGTGGTGACCGACGGTGGCCAGCGACGGTGAGGTGGTGACAGTCAATGAGCGTGCGTCTGGTTTGGTGTATTGGTGGTCTGTGTGTTTGTGAGATAGAATAGACAAAAGATTTGTGTGAAAGAAAGAGGGAATGGCGCCAATATTTCCCTCTAAAAAAATTCCCAACCTTTAGCGACTAAATAAAAATTGATCAGCAAATGTAATCAATAGCGACCAAAAGTTTGTAGATATTTGTTTAATATTGGCTACTAAAAATGTTTTTGTCGGCAATAACTGCCCATCTATGACTAGAGTGTTTTAGTCACTGATGGTTGCAATAAATAAGCCTATTTTTGGCAACTAAAAGAAATTTTGGTCGGCAAAAGGCTGTGTACGCCAACTAAAACCAAAATTAGTAGCCCAAAATGTAAACAAATGCTGACTAAAACTTTTTTAGTCGCTTATTGACATATTTTTAGAGACTAAATATTTTTTTAGTCGCCAATAAGTAACATATGGCTACTAAAAAAATTTAGTAGCTAAAAATTAAATCATGCTGACCAACAGGATAATTTGTCGATAAAGGGGCTAACTTTTGGCGACTAAAAATGTTTTAGTAGCCAAAAGTGGTCGCCAATGGTGCAGATTGTTGTAGTGAAGTACATTTATGCAAGTCATGAACAAGATTTTTCACCCATTTATTGGCAAGTTTGTTGTAGTATATTTCGATGACATTTTAATTTATAGCCCTAATGTTGAAATACATCTCACCACATTCAGAAGGCATTTACACTTTTGCCAACTAAAAATTTAGCTGGTAAAAGTCTATTTTTAGTCGATGAAAATCTTCTACGACTAATTTTTTTAGTTACCACTTTGGTAGTGAATACATAATCAACAAAAGTAATTTCAAACTAAAAAATTCTTTAGACGGGAAAAAGAACATATTTGCCAATTAAACTTTTGTCATTGAACACATAACTACCGCAACTAAACCATTTTGTTGTTAAAAATGTTAGTCACCAAAAGTACTATATTTTCGACCAAATACACCAATTGTACCGTTCCCCGGCCAAAAATGTTAGTCGCCAAATGTAATGTTTACGCGACTAAAACTTTAGTTGGCAATACACCCATTTACCAACAAAAAACTTTGATTGCCAAAATTAATGATTTTACCGACTAATTATTTAGTAACCAAATGTAACCTTTTGCCTGCCAACATTTTGATCGGCCAATGTGAGAGGTGAAACACTGACTAACAACTTTAGTCGGCAAAAGTATTAACTGTTTTCTTCTGACCAATCACTTAGTCACCAATTCAATTCTTTTGGTTTATCAAAATAGAAATAAACCATTATTTTAATACCATTTGACCTAGATTTTATAAATGGGAAATTTAGTCAAAACTCCTCCATTGAAACCTTATTTGGTGAAAGGACAACCCAATTTATTTTGCTTTATAAACTCTCTAAGGAGGAGGCACAAAATTGAGCAAGGACAATATAAAATATCCTTTCTTTTTTTTTTGTTCAACAATATTGCCAGAGTAACATATAACTGTTAAACAGTGTAACTTGTTATTGTTTAGATCAATTTCAACAGTAATAAATTATTTTTTTTTTAAGAATTTCATAGTCAATATGGATCTTGTTTGATAGATCTTGATGAAAGGATTCTAAAAATACTAATTTTATTAAAAATTGACATTTAGATCAAAGGTATATTATTTTAAAGTTTAACATTTCAATGATAGTGGTATGTGTTGGACTTTGCAAAAAAAAAAAAAAATTGTACTTATCCTTAATGGCATTAAGTTTTATTATGAGGAGACTTTGACCAAATCTCCCATAAATAATCCATCCAATCCACTGAATATAACTTGTAATAATCAACAATCATTCAAACAAATCAAATACATAAATCATGAACATCCAACAAAATACATAAATCATCCAATATTCCTTAACATGTTTAATTAAAGTCATCAAATATTTTAAGTTTTCATCCAGAAATAATTCCAAACTACATAATTGTCCAATCCAAAATGTCATGTAATCTATATAATCATCCAATATTCACATCCATTTAGCATAAAAATTTAAAACGTATTAAATACTTGTTATTATGTTTTCAATTTTTATCCATACACATCTATCCAAGAACATATAATCCGTTAAAAAATGTAACAAGTGCCAACTAGTGTTGTACAATTCAGCTCCGTGCACGAGTTCATCCGTCTATACAAAAGAAAAATAAAAAAAATTTAGGTTATTTAAGCAAAAAATATTTGTTAGGGTGTTAATATGAAGCATGTAACGCCTCAATTTCTAAGCCCAAATGTTGATACAACAATCATGGTTCTTTAAAGGAAAATCGAAATAAATTCTCATACTTGCATTACATGACACAAATAGTTCTCATGCGATAATACATTCAATTCAAAACAAAATAAAACAAACAAATTGATACCCTCAAGGGTTTACAAGTTTCCAAGGCTTAAGCCTGGTTACACAAAACGATTATTTAAACCCACACAAATACAGCAGACAGAGCAATTGGGCACCTTGACTCCCCGCTCAGGTACCAATTACATTACACAACTCAAACCTATCCCGACTCACTACCCAGACACATAGACTATGTATGAATTTGCAAAGCTTTAATTTTCCCTAAGATGATTTCAAATCATAAAAATTTCATACTTCTCACATCATCATTGAAGGACACCTCATTACCAATCCTTATCGACTCAAGGTGCATATAGAGAAAAGCTTCTAATCCTACATTTCAACCTTAAAGTCATGTAAATATGTTCAATTTCATGTGTTTTGAAAACAATTGAGCAAAACCCCTCTTTATTGAACAAGTCTCAAAACAAGGATTTATGAAAGAATTTGGGGTTTTCTCTCTTACAAAAATTAGGGGTTAATTTGCACCATCAACTATAAAAATTATCATTAATAACCATAATTTCAACCATAATCACAAAGTATTATCCACCTATTTCCAAATCATTTACTAACAACACAATCCATACATATATACATACACACACACACACACATATACTACATGAATAACTATGAAATTACCACATAAGTCATTCAAATTGAAGATATATCGAGTTAAAGACACCCCTACCTTGAAATTGGAAGCTAGAGTTGCAAATCGCACTTAAGATGTTGATGAACTTGCAAAACAATCGGTAGAAATGTCGATCTAAGCTTCCTTTCAACTTGGAAGATTTGAGTGGATCTTGGGTTGAGATTAGAGAAATCTAGGGTTTATGGACTAGGGTTTTCGGAAAAGTAAGGTTAGGGAGAGAGAGAGAGAGTATGAAAAGTGGAATGAAAATTAGTAAAGGTCGACTTTTTAAAATATGTTGTCCCGACAACCACTCGAGCACAACTTCCTTCGCTCGAGCGAACAACACAATTACGAAGGGATTGCTTGAGAAATCATTCCACCGCTCAAGCAAAAAATGAGAAGTCCCAAAAGTTTTACAGAGCTAAAGTGAAATTTCTGGGAGCATGAATTCTACGCTCAAGCGACAACTTCACCGCTCGAGCGGTCACGCTAGCAAAACAGCCAACAACTGGGAGTTGAAGATCTCCGCTCGAGCAACCAAATGACTGCTCAAGCGGTCCAAAAAACTCAACTGTCACAACAACCATAACATTAATTAATCTACAAAATATTTAAAAAAGTGTTAGAAACTACAAAATATAAGGCTTATATTATAAAGAAGACTACAATTTATGAATATCGGTGAGTTGTATGTTAGGACTAGAATGTTAAAAAATTCATCCACACTTAGAAATTATTAAGAAGCAATAGGAGATGTGTCTATAACTCTAAGTTTTCCAAAAATATAAACTTGTAATTTGTAATAAACTACCCTAAACATTCTTAACGTTTATTTTGTAGGTGAAAAAAGCAACTTTTTGGGTGATTTTCTAGCCTGGTTTTATGGCCCTAGAAAAAGGGCAAGAAGAGGGTTTCATTTGCAATCTACTTTTGCCTTAGAAATTCACAACACAAGGAATGAAGAATCCTATAAAAAAGGATCAATCAATAACTATATGCACGTTATTTAAAAAAGGATCAAACTATGTTAATAATATGCAGAGCAGCAGCAATTTGCAAGATGTACATTAGTCTCAATTTACATCGCTCATCAACCTCTAGTGCACCAAATGCCATCCTTCAAAATAAAGAACAAAGCAAACTGGGAGCTTTATTGGCAACAAATCCTTTTAATGTATGCCGAATCTATTGTCTATATACCTAGGGTTATTCTGCATAGACATGGTTACTAATACCATTCCCTTGATAATTCTTTCCATATTCAATGTCATATTAATCTGCTTGATCCAAAACAGAGCCGTAATATAATATAGCAGTCCTTTATGCTCTTTCTTGTCTTCCTTGTTACCACCACACACCAATTATATTTGTTATTCATTGGTTTCAGCTTTCAATCCAAGACTAACACACACATACGAACAAGTCATCAAATGGATCAAAGACTAAAGAGTTGATGAAAAAAATTTACCAAAAAAAAAAAAATAGAGTAAAAAAATACCACTTTATTTAGCTTATTTTTTCTTTCTTTCTTTCTTTTTTATAGATCTTTGTAGGTTAGACAGGCTGAAAAAATTTATAAGAAACAAAAAAAAAGTGATATAAATGTAGAATAAATTCACTAAATTAAAGGAAAAAAAATATGATTTTTTTAATTGATCCCAAACTTAATTCACTAGGCCAATGACCAACCCCAATAACTTTTGTTTGTGTTTAATTCTAGCTAAACTAGTTGACAACCCTATATATCCCCATGTACCAATTAGAATCCCACCCACCCAAAATCACCAACAACAAAATTTCAACATTAGTTAAACACGAAATAACTTCTTTTTTTTCTCTCAGCAAAAGGAGGAATTGTATTACGGGAAATTCAGCCAAAATCCTTCTATTGGACCCTTGTTTAGTGAAAATGACAACTCAATTTATTTTACTTTATAAACCCCCTAAATAGTAGGCGCATAATTGAGTAACGAATAAGTTAAATATCTTCTTTTTTTTTTTCTTAGACAATATTGCCAGAGTAGCATGTTACTGTGAACAAAAGCAACATATTACTGTGAACCAAAGTAACATGTTACTGTGAGACAGAAAAACAGGTTACTGTCAAACAAAGTAATATGTTACTATTTACATCAATTTCGACGGGTAATAATTTATTTTTTTTTCTTAAGAATTTCATAATCAACATGAATATTATTTGATAGATCTTGATGAGAAAATTTTAAAAATACTAATTTTATTAAAAAACAACATCAAGATCAAAAGTTATATTATTTTAAAGTTTAATATGTTGGTAATAGTGATATGTGTTGACTTTTTAAAGAAAACTTTTTGTGCTTATCCTTAATGCATTAAAATTTTAAATTTTATTATGAGAGAATTTTGACCAAATCCCCCTATTAATAATAAGAACAATACAATAGATAGGCTAAGGGATGAAGTTGCATCATTGTCAAAACCTCACATCCCAACTATGTTAGCACCCAGGCTAAGACCAATCATGCGCATTCCCATAGCAACAACAGATTGGAAAGGTTCAATACAAAGATACAGTAGCCAAACAGGCTCCACCTAAAACCAACAACAACTCACCAAAAGAGAGTGCTATTCAGCCACCATTTCTAACACAAAATTGAACTTGCTGAATATTAAAGATGAGATCATTGATAGAGAAAGCTACAAGAGTTTGGGAAGACCTAACCCACATGGCAATTCTCATTTTAACTAATTCACACAAAATAACTTATTTCAGTATTTATTCTATTATATGAAATTTACATCCCAGTGAAGCTTATCCAAAAAAAAAAAAATCCCCAATTGCTCTATAACTGTCTCACTTTTTCATTTTAAATTTCAAATTTTTACAACTTCTTTAATCTTTCTCTTCATTAACACTTTTTTTGTCATTCAATAAAAACTCAATTGATGAATTTTCATAACATACTCATCAAGTGCTGTAATTTATATAATCAATTGAATTGTATCATATTGTCTCCTCTTAACATATCCATGGACAAGGTGTAGAACTATATATTACTTTTACTGTTAATATTCCCTTTTTTAGTTCATTCAAAAAAGAGAAGTGGAACCTAAGAAGCATGGAGACTTCTAAGATGTGTCAATTTCGAACACATGTTGGACACTAACTATTGTTGGATTCTCCCCGATGTGTTGGACACACATTCAAACGTATCCTATTCTTTTTTAAATATTTTCAAAACTAGACACACTTCAAACACTAAGAAACACACAAAAAAACACAATTCAAGTTCGAAAAAATTATTTTAGGACTTAATGATAAAATAAAAATAATATAGATTTATACCTTATTAATCAATCTTCCTATATACTTGAACTTTGAGGATTCTTAAACCCAAAAACTTTCAACTTGTTTATAATGAAAGCTTTCTAAAATAGATATTATAACTTTTTTTGTTCACAATTCTTTTGCAGTATGTTAGTTGCAGAAAATGATTTATTATTATTTTGATATAAAAATATATATTTGTAATGTAAAAATTATGAATAAATTATTATTACATCTAAAAATATATATTTATTTGTTGGTGTGTCATTGCCGCGTTATGTCCTAGATTGTTTTGAAATAAAAAATAAAAAAATTTCATGCGTCATGTCATGTATCCGTATCCATGCTTCTTAAAAGTGGTACACTATCAAAGACAAGACTCAGCAATATGCAAATGAATCATTACCCCCACTAAGAAATGTAGTCAACCCCCACAAACCCAGTTTGTGTATATGAAACTCAAGTCAACTGAGTTTCATCTATAATGTTCATGGTCAACAGTTGAATTAAACAACAAACCTCCCCCATCACTTTAGATACATTTATTACCAAGCAGGGAAAAACTACCTGAGGTTCAATTAACAAAGCTGACATAGGAGAAGGTTGTAAATTTCTCAGTTATACTAGGTATACTCATAATAATACAGAAGCAAGTCTTGGCAATCTAGGTACTTGCATGTAAGAGTTTTAAAGCTACATTATCAAAAAAGTTTGCTGCACCACATTTTATTATATCTTCCTTTCCCGCTTTTTTTTTTATTTTTTATTTTTTATTTGGTCTTCCCGCTTCAACTTTTGCCGATCAAATTTCGATTTTAGTCAAATGACGCTTGGATATCTATGTATTAACTTGTTCGAAAGGACAAAAAATTAAATAAATAACATACCTTTTCAATTTGGTTTCCACTTGGTCAATATACCCCGAGCACTACTACCAAGTTAAGACAACCCCACTACACTAGTTTACCATTTCTATATACTGATGGAAACTATCAGCAGCTAATTTTGCTGAAGTAGACACTGGAAATTCATATTCAAAGTCTGATCTCAGCCAAACCAAATCCTATCCTAGTTTAAATCATGGCCTGCATACGTTCCAGTTTTTACTAAAAACCCAAAGTCCCAAATATGTTGGTGAGACTTCTGCATGGTAGATTTTGTTGGTTCTTATAAAGTAAAAATGAGCTTTCACAGCATAAATCACCTAAAACTCAAACACTCACTACTCATTCATTTGGGCAAGATAGAGATTCCAACCTTTGCCTCCAACATCATTAGCCTGTAATTCCTTTTTATACAGATTCCCAGAATATCAACTTACTCACTTCATTGTTTGCAGTTAAAATCTACAAATCCATAGCATGCTTGGAACAATAGCAACCAGCATATAATAATTATGCACTACTAGATGAATACATCCTTCAGTGTTAGGACTCAATTCTTCTGCTCATACACACTTTACCATTATCATAAATTATTCAGATGCCAATCATAAGAAGGCAGAGAGTGCATAGACTGATGCAATTTCTGGTCACATAACAAAGAATAAATAAATAAATAAATAAAGAAGAAGATATCAATAAAAGAAACTACATAATGCTAAGAATTCGCTATTCTAGCATTCAATCAATTTAAATTCCCAAACAAAAGTTCCAATTATTCAATCTAGACCAATTTCCATCAATAATCAAAAGAAAATAAAATGCCCAAGACATTTTTTTTATTCCCAATAAAAAGAATTCAATTCAAATTCCCAAACAAAAGTTCCAATTATTCAATCCAAACCAATTTCTATCAACAATCAAAAGAAAATTAAATACTCAATAAATTTTAGTAAATTTTTTTCAGAATCAATTGATAAATTCCACGACAAGAAAGGATTGGATATCAGACCTTCTCGTTCAAGGAATTACACTTGTACTGTACAAAGCCATCGGCATCGAAATTATCGGACTTGAAGACGTTGAGATTTTCCTCGAGCTTATTGCCCGAGTCCTTGCGGTTGTTGCTCTTCGCTGCAGTGTTATTCAGTACCCTTGACCGAGACGACTTCGTTGAAGCCATTAAAACTGTATACGATTTCTCAGCTCAAATCAGATCAGATCAACAACAAATCAAGCGAAATTTAGGGCTTTGACTTGGGAACAAACAAGAAATCGAAAGAAAATGATTGGTTTAGATCAAAGGGAGAGAATGGATTGCGAGAATTGAAGAAGGAAGAAGAGACAATAATTGAAGCCATGGCGGAACTCGAAGAAATGGGTCAGCGAAGCCATGACGGCAAGATGAGAGGTGGTCAGCGCCGTCGCGATGGCGGTGGTGGCAAGAGGAGAGAGACGAAAGAGAAGGGCTAGAAGAGAGGCAGAGGACACTGACTGAGACTGTGAGAGAGAGAGAGAGAGCGAGTAGCGCATGAGAGAGAAAAGTTTCGAGGGGAGAGAGAGAGAGCAGCGAGTTTTGTTGGGTAACGGATTCCGCTCAAGAAATTGTAGAAATCATATTAAGCAGAAATATACACTTACATTTAAGGATTTACTCTCTTTAACATGGTTCGATAATAATGTCTACCTCTGCGGGAGAATAACCGTTTATTACTATAACAATGGAGAGATTATAAAAAGATTACAATAGAGGAGGAGCTTACACTGTTCTCACTCACCCGTTCACCCGTCTCCCTCGCTCATACCGCGAGAGACGATTTCTCTGCTTCACATCTCTCACTCTCTTGGTTGGTTTACTCACTATCTTGCCCATCCAACACCTCCCCCATTTATATACAAATGAGGGAGAACCTCATTGGTTGCCACATACCTTCTTCCACTCTCTAGTGGGTTGGAGTTGGTGAGCCACCCCACCATTATCTAGTGGGTGCTCCATTGGCTCATATGGGTTGAAGATAGAGATATCCTACAAATCAGCCCCCAACCCATGTGAGGTGATTCACTACATACACTGCTGCTAATCTTGTCACGCCCAAATTGCATCTCTTCACTGAGACGTTTGCATCCCCTGAAATTAAAGATAACACACCAGAGATACAAGAGGAGAAGGGAATCCTACATCCTCAACTCAACTCAACCACTCTCTGATTTGGAGAGAGCCTCTGCTCCTATCTCCCTCAAATCTCTTCCACGCTTCCTGTCTCGGATGTCTTCGCCTGTTATGCTTTAACTTGCGTAACCAAGATATCCTGCACCTCCCGATTGAGATGCCCAGCACCCCCTGCCTGGGATGCCTTGCACTCCTTTGAGTGCTTTGTGACACTACAGTTTTTCCCTGAGCCTCCGTTTGGGAAGTGGGTTGGCTTTTTGACTTTTTGGCTTTTTTGGCTATTTTAGCCTGGGCTTAAAAGCTTGGTTTGGGAAGGGCTTTTTGGCTTTTTGGCTTTTTTGAGTTTTTTTGTGAGAGAAGAATGTAATGATTATGGGTTGGATGTGATGTTTTGTTTGTTATGGCTAAAATAGCCTATTTTGTGTTTTTGTGGCTAAAATAGCCAAAAAAACCTGCAAACCCACTTGCCAAACACAGGCTGAAATGTCACTATTCTGCCATGTATCTCCTTGCATGGCCAAAACTGGAGCAACAGAGAACTCTTCATTTGTCTGGTCAACATTGCTGGTTTTCTTTGCTCGGAGTTTCCCTTGAACTATCCTGAACTATCAGCATTTGCCCTTTGCACTCCTGAACAACTTCCAAACGTTTCCACACACTTGTTGTTCATGCATTTTGCAATCCCTGATCTCCAGTTCAGCGATACGCGTTACCAACGCATCTTTCATTTGTACTACCAAATGATGATTGACAGTAGCTTTTTCTTCCAAAGCAACTTCAACAGATTTGTACAAGTCACCAACTATGCAACACATAGCATAGTACCCGTACCCATACTTCTTGAGTGCTCATCGTGGCTCCATCTCTCCCCCTGCGCTCGAGCTCGCCTGAGAGATCCGCAACTACTCTGTTTCATTAAGAGGTGTGTTCGCTGCCACAGAATCAAAAAACCGATACCATAACCCAGGTATCCAACCATTCAGTCAAAACTGAATGCCATCTGCTGTACAAAACACAAGCGTTTTTCCAAAAAAACACAGCAGATTCCATTGAGCCAATGTAAAGAACATGCAGAACCAATCGAGCTAGCTCTTCGATTTTCTGCAACTCAAGCTCCATCATAGTGCCAAGTTTCGATTTCCATAGGCGCCAAACAAGTTGTCCTTGACAACTCTAAACAAAACATGGTGAGCAACCCGCTTGAACCAATGGTGAAGAGATTAAACAAGAGAGGCATCAAATTCTCTGTCAAAGCAACTTCGAAAGCGGTACCAAAAACATCATGTCTGATCAACCATCAAACACAATACTGCTCTCTTCAAGCTCGAATTAATCAAGAGAGCCAAACAAATTCTCCGAGAACTGAGGCAAGTTCTCCACCAAACAAAACTGGATTATAGATGCAGTTAGGCTATAACCAGTTCGGAAGTATCAGAACAAACTTCAAATGAACTTACAAAATACCAAGAGCCAAAAAGTTCTGAAGTGTCGAGCAAACTCCAGATTCCTCCAACTGCCATTCCAACCGGCAGACACAAGATAATGCACCATCTTCACAGCTGCCAAAAAACCGCCCAAAGGCACGTGCACCGTAAATGCACAACTCCAACAGTCCCTGCTGACTTCACCGAGTCTGCAAACGATCTATCCCCTCCAAATCCAATGGTAGATTATGGGATGGATCCCAACACATGAGATTCACAAAATCACGATCTTCACGTTTCTCCACAACAATCTCTTCTAATCTTCAATGAACACCAAAGGTCATACCGCTTCCACAGAAGCAAACACCCGGAGTCTGAATCGTCACCCAGACTACCAATAGCTGATTTCTTCGAATATGGAACAGATAGTGAAAATGAAAATCCACAAGAAGAAGAAACAATCAAGTCTCACAAACCGGAGACACCCCTAGATCTAATCAGACATTCTCATAGATCCCAACTGTGATAATGAATCTCAATAAACCACGAATTTGAAAATCGCCAGTAATCCGTGAAAGACCGCCAACAACAATGCCTCCAATAGACATTGAACAAAAAATGCCAAAGCTCCACCAAGATCTGAAGTAGATTGTCACACCTTCTTCAAATTGACAAATGTGGAAAAAGCTCCACCAAGATCTGAAGTAGATTGTCACACCTTCTTCAAATCAACAAATGCGGAAACCAAGACTTCACCAGATGCGAGTCTTCCAACAACGATCCATGAAGGATCTTCAAATAGAGGCCAATGCCAATAAAGTACTACTATTTGGACTTATTACATATGCCAAATCTCCGTAGTACACTCTGCCAATGCTTGTTCTCTCTATCCCCTAGAGAAAAACCGAATGATCTCTGAAGTTCTGTAACTAACCCAAGAGTCTCCAAATGAACTAATAACTTCTACAACTGACTCTGAAGGGTCTTCAATTGGCTTCCAATTGGCTTCAACCGCGTGAACAAAAATTTTCACCCCTATCACCCACATGGATGGTAAAACACCGTTCTACAAATATGCCTCCATTCCACCGAGCATCCGAAGTGAATCTGCACCTCTTACTTGGAACATTTTCAACCGCCACACAGCATCCTGCATGGCCCACACCTCTATCACTAGGTACTTGCATCCTCCAATAGAATGTTCACTGTTTTCCCGTTGAGGTGACTCCACCCAAACTCTCTGGGTTCCTGTTGCGACTTCACTGCCACGAACTAGATTCAGGACAAAGAAAAAGATTTGTCTCTCACTGGGTGCGCATTGCAGCGTCTTATCCCTTTCAATTTTTCTGTCTGGAGCTTTATTCTGTGAACTAGTTGTTGCTGCCAGGCCAAAATTCGGCACACTGCACCTTTGTATGACTCTGCTGTGTACTCTTGCACTTGTTGTATGCTTGCACCTTGTATGACATTCCTGTGTACTCATATGTGCTATTGTGGCTACGTGCACCTACACATTATGTGTGCACCACTGCAGTTGTTGCCCTTCCACGTTCACATACTACCAGTACTTCTTGTATTATGTTTGACAGTAGCTCCAACCGCCACAACATTCCCTTGAGCCTGCACTAGTTGCCAATCATCTGTCTATTGATGAAGTGGACTTTTGATTGAATCAGATCTTTCAATCACCTCAACAACCAGGAAAGTTCCCAAGAAAGGCTAGTGGGGTCACAACCGGTCCCACTTAAGAACCAGTCTCCTTAAACAGGGTCTTTTTTATAGAACTTTCCTAGACATTGTTGATCTTGAGATAATCATGTGCAATTCTCCTGATCACACCCTAACCAATCCTGATCTCTATTGATTTTCCATTTCATCAAGCCTGATCTCCTTTGGTCTTCAATGATCTATCTCAATCTGTATCTAGTTGTCCAATCTGGTCAGAATCTGCCCATTCTAACCTCTACAGTAAATCCGCAGCGTTCCACAATATTTGGTAACGTTCCTTCGACTATTAAAGATGACAAACTCTTATGTTTTGACAATCTTTAAAACCCGTTCAAAATTTCACCATTCTGACATCACGGTTGCATCCGGAACGGTCCGATTAGCTAGAACTAACCTTCGCTGCACTTCCGGGGACCTCACTGAAAAATTTCTCCAAAATTGGGGCAAAATTGCAAATTTCCCAAACATAGGACCAAACTAAAATTTCACAAACTACAGGGGCCAAAATGAAATTTTCTAGAAATTTAGTGACCAAATTATAATTTCTGAACAATTCAGGACCAAATTGCAATTTACCAAACTTCCAAGGGCTAATATGCAATTTCTTGAAACCTCTGGCCAACCTATAATTTCTAGAAGTGCCAATTTAAACATCTGACCGTACAGATGGGTCCGGAATACTCCAAATAGTTGGAAACCACTATTAGATCATCAGAAATGGACTCCGAATGGCTCAGATCAAGCCAAAATAGTTTGGACGCTTCAGATCTGCGACTACACTTTAGCCGCATAGCACTGAATCACTCCTCGTTGCCCCAACGTGGCAGATGAGGTGGCACAACCGTGCTAAAGTGGCGCTAAATGGACTGCCAAGTGTCGATGACGTAGATGACACGTGTCTCTAACTAGATGGCCACGTGGCGATGACGTGGATGCTACGTGTCACTGACATGTGCTGATGTAGTTGATGCTGTGGCTCTGACGCGACGCCACGTGGCGTGCACGTGGCGCGCACGTGGCGCACACGCACGACCGCCACTCACTTTCTTCCTTCCGCCGCGCGTGGAACGCGTGGTCGAGACTAGGACGACGCGTCGGCAGACTGTACGGCGAGTTGGAGCGTGTGCTGTGACTGGGCTCACGCGCCGTCTTCAGGCGGCGCATGAGGGCGCGTCCAGCATCCTCTGGGCTCTACTTTGCATTTCTGGGCTCCTCTCATCGAGACTTTGCTCCTGGTATGCTCAAAATTTGATTTCAAGCTATTT